GGAGCGACCCGAGGATGCGTCTGCCTTTCGCGGGAGCCAGACCGGAAGCCGAACCATTTGCTGTTTTGATGAGCAGTAAAAAGCTGCTACTTTTAGCACTGGAAGATCATACACACTGTGTACACTGCAGAGACCAGGGTAGGGTTGCCAAGTTGTACCTCGTCCTGAAGCGGGGGACTCCCAGGTCGATCCTGGAGCGCGCGCTGCATCCACATCACCAGGAAGTGTGGATGTGGCATGCTGGGGGCGGGGCCACGACCATCCAAGGGAAAACCATAGAATTTTCCCTCGGATGACCGTGGCCCGGCCCCCAATGTGCCCGGCATAGTCGCGTCCCTTCCTGGTGACGTGCACGTTGGGGTGGAGTTCCCCCCGGGGCCCGATCCACCCCCCGGGGGGACTTGGCAAGACTAGACCAGGGAGAGGTGCCATCTGAGATTTACACAGTAGGTCATTCACAGCTTCATGGTTTACAAAATCTCTCCAAGGCTGTGAACAAATGAAGAGCTTCTCAAGGGTAAGGAGGTAGTAATTGTCAAGCTATCACTTCTAGTTTGTTATGTCAACACCACAGTTTCTGATCAAGCCCTACTTGGTGGTTTCTGTAAATTTCAAGATGTACCCTAGAAAAGCTGAAATTGCTTTCAGAAATGTAAATACTGCTTCTGTGACAGTCATGGATGGTTTTTCACAGCACTGGAGGGAAGTATAGAATGTGTTCTAATGCTTTAAACCATTTGAATGCCATGTTTAATATTTTTAGAATTATTTTGGTGAGAGTGTGAAAGAACTGGTGATTAGGCATGAGTGCTCTTAGAGCTTTTTCCTGCCTCATAATTTCTAGAACACTTACTCTGAACATCAGCTTTGCTTTGGGCCGTGTGCTTACTCTGCAGTATCAAAGTGAGTAGCTTATGCCTTGTTGCAGAAAAACATATTTCTTCCTCAAAACACAGACATACACACAAAGCAAGTTAAAAAAATGGAATCTAAAAAATGGAATCTTTCTAAAAGCTGCAGCCTTAATAGGCCACAGTACTAGGTAAATCCCAATTTCTTCTCCCCCACCCAATCCCTTGTGGCAGAATTCCCTTCTTCATATGTCACTGCTGCTTCAACTGGCGGGGGGCATTAATAATGAAATTGCTGAGGAAGTGTAGTGTGTAGGTGCTGCAGCACTTTCCACATTGTGATTGGCTTCGTTTGAATTCTTGCTACCAGATGAGTATTCTGAATGATAATTCCAAAAGTGCCACTGGAAAGTGATTATGATATCTCTTAATGTCAGTTTTTAGCTTACTGTTCTTTCTTTCATCTGCTATGAATGGCTCTGCCTAATTACTGTATTTGGAGAAACTCTTTTCAACCAAAGTGATTAATTATTAGCTATTTATTCTTGGTCACCAACAGTTTTGATTACTTATACCACCTGTGAAAGAAATTGTGTTAAAAATTTTCATCCTCAAGGGTTTTTTTAGATCGTTATTTTTAAGAGACCCTTTAAGAATTTTATACTACTGGTTCAACTCTGTGTGTTCCCAAAGTTGACATTTTAACTTTTTATTAAAAATGTGCTTTCTCTGTAATTTTTTTAAAAAGAAAAACACTTGATCCTGAAATAAATCAGTAGACTTATTCTTGTCACTCATCCTTTCAGGAGAATTTTAAGAGTCAAGCCATGGAGGACAGCATTTGCTGCTCTTAACTAACTTTTAGTCTTACATCTTATACCTAGTCCGTACCTACTTTTATCTCTTATACCTACCTCAAAATATTTTGCATTTGGTTGTGGGGAGGCATACAGTACCAGAACCATGGCCATATTGGTACAGTTGGACTTTGACCCAGGGACGCACAGGTTCTGTTCTCTGCTTACTGGATGACTTTCAGCAAGTGAGTTGCTCTCAGCCCAACCCAGCTTGTGGGTATTAGATGGATTATCCACATATATACAGTTCAGAGCTTCTTGGAGGCAGGAGATAAATATTGTGACAAGTATAAGCCTCAGTCTTTTTGTAGTATAACAATCTGAAATCCGAACAAACACAAGGATTCAAGACAACAGTTTTATAAAGACAAACATTTTTCCTCATGTCGTTGATACCCCAGTCACTTTGGAGTTCTTGTTTCCTTCCTGAAGTAATATCTAGACAGCTTAGTTTCCACATCTGAGTTTGCTCAGTGCAGTGGTATTGCCTGGGTGTCACAAAGTAGAAGACTCTATGTGGTGAGTTACCAGTCTCCCCTGCTCCTGAAGGCCCTTCTGTGCCATTTAGCTCAGGGTTTTTCTTTTTTCACCCCATCTGTCTAATCAGTGTAGTCCCCTGTTGCTGTCGTTACACTCAGAAATACGTCTGGTTTGTGCCTCAATTCCATGGTTCCTTCTCCCTCTCTTTCCTCTGCCATTCGACTGCTGCTCTCCTCTATTTCACGGTCACAATTGCATGGAACTGTTCAAGTTCCCGTGACCTCTCTTGTCCAGGTGAGCCAATGAACAGAAGATGTTTATTCACTCAGTGTCAATTTTACATAAACTGTGTTTACACTGTTGGTAAGTCCAACTAATGGATGCAGTAACTGGCTATGTGAGATATCTATATTACACCAGCTCTTAGTAGTGTTTTCTTCTCATGTATGAATGTGTCAGTCATACTGATAGCCTCACTATGCCAGCTAGTGGTTGAACACACAAGTATATCAACCTCCACTCTTCTTGCAAGGAGTTAGACACAAATAGTGATCGCAAGGGAACGTTCCTCTGGCCTGTTCCCACATTTTTCAGAGCCCTTTCCAAACATGGCTGAATTATCTGAACCTTGATTTGTTCACTATAGTGGATACCTGCGGAGCATTCGTTTATGGATCTTTGCCTGACAGCAGCATGTTTATCAGTGTCTGTACTTGTCAGTCACATGGAAATCCTTTCTCAGATCTTACTTCCAGTAGAGCACTTTGGCAAGGATTATATTTTGAAAAGCAAAGATCAGTGCAGATCTTTGTGATGGAACAAGATGAAAGTAGATTTTATAGCCTGCTTTTCTTTCCTGTAAGGAGTCTCAAAGCAGCCTACAGTCGCCTTTCTCTTCCCTTCCCACAACAGTCACCCTGTGTGGTAGGCAGGGCTGAGAGAGTTCTGAGAGAGAAATGTGACTGGCCCAAGGTCACCCAGCAGGCTTCATGTGGAGGAGTGGGGAATCAAGCCTGGGTCTTCAGATTAGAGTCTGCTACTCATAACCACTACATCACGCTGGCTCTGAAGGAGGCTATAAGAAAGGATGAGTTCTGGTTTTCAGGGTCGTTGTTTTTCAAGCTGTTTGGTTCATGGAAGCAGATGTTGCTACATGAGCATTGAATGTTCATATTATTCTTTTAGTCCAATTCCTCAGTCATCAAACATTCACACTAGGTCAGAATGACTTGGACAGCTGTTAGGTAACATGTGGATTGCAAGCTAGATTTGGAAGGATCAGTAGGTCACCAGCAAGAAAGGGAAAGAAGGCACTGAATTCTCCTGCAGGGTGATTATAAGCGAAAGATGTATACATCTTCATGGTGGTAATCTCATTGAAATTTGCAGAATTTCGGTTTTAACTTTTACAAAGTAAGTTTTTCTTTCTATGATCATTTAAAAGAAACATCGGAAGCATGTAACTAATGCCTTCCAAAAGCCTCCCCTATAGGAGAGTTAAATATTCTTAAACCTAGACCATATTTAATTGGGCCCTAAAATCTTTAATTTTGGCCAGAATATATTATTTGTTACTGTTATTTTAAATTTTAAGTAAATAAATAAAACAAATAGTTAAAAAAATATATTCTTTGTTCATGCTGAGTAATGCTTCACCAGTGAGCTTTCCAAAATTATTATAATCACAATTATGGCATCCCTGGGTACTTGTGCAGCTGAGGGCAGAGTAAGGCAAGGCACAAGTGATCTATAGCTAGCAAAGGAAGTATCTTAGTTGCTTACAAAAGTACATGAAACCAGAAGTATTTAAAGAAGATGATATATCACTTGGCCTGCTTTAGCCTATTAGTGTAAGGAATGAGGGATGCTTGAGCACCTGCTGGTTCAGTTCACATCCTGATCACTTGTCGTACACAGAGAACTGATTGTTTGGCAGGCAGTTTATGTTCCTTGCAAGTAGCTCAAGCCTGTTCATTCCAGGCACAGTGCACATTAATGGCCCCCTCCCCACACCCTTTGTTGCCACACTATTGCTCTACCACCAATTGTTTAAATGAAGAGTTGACAAAAACAGTTGATCATATATGAACACTTTATAGTTTTTTAAAAGTCTTAATATTGACTGTTGAATCAATGTTAATGGTTGCCAATTTCTCTGGATCAGCAGCAGATTGTACATATGTGTTTTTGCACAGCCTCATGGGAGCTGTAGGTTTCCATCCACTGGGATAATTTAAGTACCTGACCAGCCATCTATGACTCTGGGGAATTGCAGCTGCTAAAAATGGTGCATTTGCCTGCCAAACATGTTTGTTGTGAAGTTCTTAGCATCTCTATATGGAACTTGTCTTCTTGCCGTCCCCTGTGGCCAGAAATAGATGGGGGTGGGGGGAATCTGCCTGACACCCCTCAGATCACCCTCTCTAGACTCACTTATAAGCCCAAGCAGCTTAAGCGACTGGATATCTTGTATTTATTTAGGAATGTTATGGTGCCATGTACCATTGTGACACCAAATCACAATGTGCAATTTCTTAGAAGAATCTAACTGCTGTTCCGATAGTTTATCTGTAAAAACAATGGAAAATGCACTTATTTCTGCAACAGAGAAGTTCAAATAAATATATTTCTGTCCATTCTTTTAAAATGTCCATTTCTCTCCTTCATTTAAAATGCCTGGACCGTAATAATCAGGTGGTTTATTGTATTGGCCTGTATTCCCCACATGTTGGTGTTGCTTAATGAACAAAGCACAAGTGCTCTTAGTTTGTAATGTGTGTGTTATAATGTTTTGTCTCCTGCTCTCCCGTAGGACATCCTCAGAACTTCGAATTTCGAGAGCTTCATTGGATGATGCTGGTGAATACACGTGTAAAGTGAGCAACAGATTTGGGAATGACAGCACCAAAGCTCGGATTGTCATTACCGATGCCAGTGGTAAGATATGGTTCATTCTTTAACTGGAATTGCTTGCGGAAGTAGGAAGCATTCTTGCAGTGATTGCTAGAAAAATCACATGGGTGCATCTAACTGAGCTGTAATGAAAAAAGTGGGCGAACAGTATTATAATTTAGTGGGTCCTTAGCATAGCTACAGTTTACAATTAGCGTAGGCCAAAAATTTATTTTTGTCATGTGTCCCCAAAGGGACCTAAAGTGGCTTACAGAAAATTCCAAAATATGATTACAATAGCCAATTTAAACATTACAGTTTAAAATAAACAAATAAAACTAACTATGTGGGCAAGCAGAGGACAAAGAAGCGTAACCCAGATTATATCCAGGGGCTGCTAGGAGGATATTCCCCACTTTCTCCTCTACCAAAAATGGTTCTGGACGTTAAGACTAATCTGGTGATTCTTGCATTGAGAATGTTCCCTCTGCCAGTGCCTCAGACCAACTTAGAACTTAGTATGTAGTAGGGGTATACACTAATTTATCAGGCTTTGTTGTGAAAAGTTGAATCTTTTAAAACACTTGATCACATTGAATGTTTTTTTACAAATGAGTCAATAGAACACCTACGGCTGCTATGTGTTAATGTATGTTTTTGTACCATTTCCCAACTTGAAACGGGACAGACTGACAAGAATTGGCATCATGGACTCAAATCATCTTCATATGCCAGCCTTGTCTCCAAACCAGCTGCTTAATCAAACACACAACCATCTTTCTGATATCACTGTGATTTCTGAGCAGATAAAAAACTTGACAGATTCACTTTCAATACATATGGATGGTTGCCCAGTCTATGCCCCTGATTAATCGAATGATCACTGTATCGGTTATATGAAGGATATAGGGTGTTGTTAATTATATTATCTTTTAGCTTAGATTTGTGATTGTGAGGAGCAGATGATGGAACCAGGAACTGTATAAGCAAAGGAATTTTTATATTAAAACCTTCATTCTGTTTTGCTAATCTAAGCAGATATATTAATGCATTTTTATTATATCAGTATGCATAATCTTTATAGAAGTACTTTTTTCAATTATGAGCGCCCCCTGCTTATTTGTACATAAGAGCATATTGTCTCCTAGACATTCTGTAGAAGAATTCAAACATGCTACCTTGAATGGCATTTTGTATTAAATCCCAACAGAAATGCTGGTATACGAAGGTGTTTCTAACTCTTTTAAAATGAGATTTTTTTCCAAATGCACTCAAAGGCTAAAGAAATGTGCCGAGTATGTGGGGAAAACTAGACCCTAGCATCCTAGTCATTAGTATAATTCTATGTACTCTTTTGCAAGGGTACAGCACAGAACATAGCTGTGGGCCATTGTTCTAACTTTGCAATCCAGTGCAAAATTACTCCAGTCTAAGCGCGTTGAAATCACTCTGCATTGGATTTCACTGTAAATGTACTTAAGTGGCTGCAGGTACCATTCAGATCGAAGGGAAGAGGTATCACTGTGTGTTCATCTTATATGTAGATCTGAAATTTAGTGTGAAGAATACCTTTTCCCCCTTTCCTGGAATTCACTGAAGCTCCAAATACATTATTCCCTGCAGCAATGAAATACCATACATCTATACACATTAAATCATTAACAGCTGCCCTTCCATATCCCTTTTCTGGAATTTTAAACCATACATTATTTGAGTGATGAGGCAAGCCTGTCATTATCCAGAGATATACTGCCAAAGAGATATTATTCAGGCTGAAATGCAAGAAATGCGAAATACCTGGAAAATAAATATTTGTAAAAACTTTTCACAGAAACTAGCACTGTTACGGTATTAATTGTTATATTGGATTACTGATTTACAAGTACTAAAATAATGGATTGTGCAGATTTTTCATTTTCCTTGTAAACTTAATCGGTTCCCATGCATAAAGGAGTTGTTTGCTCATAAATCTGCACAGTTTCACACTTGGAATAGCTTTACCAGTTTCTGGTGGTGTCCCAGAGAGTCAAGGCTCAGCCAGACATGATAGGTTCAAGTAATGACTCAGATAAACGACCACATGTTTGGGCATGAAGATACTCCTGTACTCCATTCCAGCATAAGGAATGGGGAAAGGATCATAGAATGTGTGTGGGATCTCATTCCATCATCTAAAATGCGTGTCTCAGAATTCCAGCAGTGCTGCTGCTCTGTGAAAATCCTTAAATGTATTACTCTGTATACCACCCCATTCACTGTCGCCTGATAGAACTGGGGGGGAGGGTTGTGGTTTGGGAGCCCCATGCAGCTCTGCAGGTCTCATGCTAACATACAACAGGAGAGCCCAGTTTGGTGTAGTGGTTAAGTGCGCGGACTCTAATCTGGGAGAACTGGGCTTGATTCCCCACTCCTCCACTTGCACCTGGCTGGATGAACTTGGGCAAGCCGTTTTTCAAGCTGTTCTTGAAAAAAGAGCAGTTTCTGTTGAGAGCTCTCTCAGCCCCACCTCCCTCACAGGGTGTCTATTGTGGGGAGGGGAAGGGAAAGGAGTGTGTAAGCCGCTCTGAGACACCTTTGGGTAGTGAAGGGTGGGATATAAATCCAATCTCTTCTTCTTCTTTTACCTCACCGGGTGCCTGTTGTGGGGAGGGGAAGGGAAAGGAGTGTGTAAGCCGCTCTGAGACACCTTTGGGTAGTGAAGGGTGGGATATAAATCCAATCTCTTCTTCTTCTTTTACCTCACCGGGTGCCTGTTGTGGGGAGGGGAAGGGAAAGGAGTGTGTAAGCCGCTCTGAGACACCTTTGGGTAGTGAAGGGCGGGGTATAAATCCAATCTCTTCTCTTCTCCTTCTTCTTCTTCTACTTTGTAGTTCCCTCAGCACTCAATTTCCTTTTCTCTCTTTCCATGACTGTACAGCAGCCACTAGTTTTACCTTTTTTCAGTTTTCCATTCTAAGGATAGTTTAGCAAATTCCAAATGGATTACAGGACCAGAAGTACACACTGGCAAATTTTATATTGAACATAAAAAGGAAACTAAAGGGGAATCATATTCATCGTTAACCTTGGCAACGGCCAGAGGTGTACCATATAATAACAATGGAACAGCCTTAGCCTGAAAAGCTCAAATACCAGCTGATGCATAGTTACTGGAAGAATCGTAAGAGGGCTGAAGAATACACTGAAGCCAGTTTCTCAGCAGCATTACTATGGCTTGTCCATGACTAGTTATAAGAAGAAGAAAAAACCAAAATAATAAAATGTATTCACCTGATCAGTCGAGTGACCATTCATAAAACAAGCTAAATGATGTGGTGGAAGGACCTTTAAAAACACTAAAACTGGGGTCTTTCAACAATTTACATCTTAAAAACTCCTGGAAACAATACAGTGCAAAATAAACAGCTTAAACCAAGGCGAGACCGAGATATCAGTAAGGCATCAGCAGCAAAAAACCCAAATTTGAAACAGGTGTCTGAGACAAACAAGGGGGATGGAAGAATTCACCAGAGAGACAGCTATCACTGTCATTTATATACAGGTTAAAAAGGAAAGGGGCCAAACGGCAACCTTGTTGGACACCTCTGTTAACTTGGTTTTTACCTTTCTACAGCTTGTGATTGGCTGTGGAGCTAAAGAAATAGTGTGTGCAGTATTCCCATACCTCACACCTCACCTCCGTTTTAATTGCCATGATGAGCCTGTGGAGAGGTCATATTGATTGAGAAACCAAATTAGCAGTGGAGGTAGCTTTCGTTTGGTCAGCCCACTTCATTTGTCTTGTGCAGCCATCACTTTCATTGCTGCTTGTTACACCCTTGAGTGGCATGAGCAAAAGAAGAGTGCACAGTTCATGCGAGGTCTGCTCCCTTCACCCATTTTTATTTGCTAGCCTAACTGGGAGAGGGGAGCTTCCCCCCCCCCCAGGTAAGAGACCTACAGTTGTTGCTCCTTGTGACAAAGGAGCTAAACTCTACTTAGAGACAAAACACTTTCTCACAGTATGATTTTTTGCATGTTTGTTTGGTGGTCAGTCATTTTGTATTTCAACCGAGTTTATTCATAGGCAAGTATAAATAGGATTCCACCTTAAAGCTTGAACCTATGCATGTTTATTTAGGGATAAGCGTGCATAAATTTGAAGACGAATTTATGCATGCTTACTCAGATGTTAATCCCACTGTGCTCACTGTAATTTACTTCCAAGTAAATATTCATAAGATTACAGTGTCAAGGTGCCTACTGGTGGGAGGTGGTGCTGGAGAACTTGAAGGGAGCCAGGGGGCGAAGTTCAGGGGATTAGATCAATGGAAAGTTTATTGACCCAGACCATCCATTCATATTAACCTGTGCATGTCAGCAAATTACTTCTACAGAAGTATACATGCAGGAGATGGCCATTCTCTCCCCCCCCCAAGTCTGCCAGAAGGCCCAGAAATAAGGTCATAGTTTGAGTTTTTAAATTGGGATTGCATTACTGGATTCCTGTTACCAGCCTGTTGTGTGCACCTATCTAAAAGGTTTTGCTGAATTTCTCCTTATGAGTACCATGAACTAAGGGGACTCTCCAGTTTCTCTTCCACCCCATTTTCTTCCTCTTCTCTTGAGTCTTTTGGAAATAGGAAGCTTAATTCAAAATTCAGGGGTCTTCCTGACAATATATAACAAAAAAGATTGGCTTGAATTTTGGAAACTAAAAAGAATTTAGCCATATAAAGTAGTGCACCTGTTGGGATTGACTGCCTGTAGGCTATGGGATTGGCTCGAATGTGGTAAGGAAGCTGGGTGATCCCAGAGATGTTTTAAGGTTTCTGCATTACAAGAATGCATTTTAGTGGGCAGAGTAGAGATGTCTATAATGCATTTTAGAGAAATTTGGTTTGGGAGGACAGTGTGTCACGGAAATATAAAAATTCCTCAGTTGTGTTGTTGATAATAATTACATATTTGAGAAATGTAATTTATTCATAGGTACCCAACAGGATTGTCTTCTTTACTCTGATGTTTAAAACATCAATTGAATTTCTAATGATGCCAATAAGGAA